GCTGGAAACCCCTTGGCATAGGAAAGGGTGGTGTGAGGGATCCAGATCCTCCCAGATCCACACTGGTGATGGTGTCTGGGCTGCAGGTGGGAGCTGATCGCCCTGTATTTTGTCTGCAGCTCAGTTCCTTTAACTGCACTTGCCATTCCTGCAGATGGCATTTCCAGCTCCCAGCTGAACTGGGCCCTGGGGCAATCTCTGGCAGGCAAGTGGTTGCCCAGGGCAGAAAAAGGTTTAATAGTTGCTCACTGTGCAAATAGCTTGGAGCTGAAGGGCTGGCATTTCCCAGTCTGATTGAAGTGTTAGAGCACCTAAAGGCTGGCCTGACTGTCTCTGAATTAACACTGTGCTTAAGAGCTAAAAAGGGGCTAAACTCATCCCTCCTGCAGCTTGCTTAGCATGGATTCAAGTCCTTTTTAAAGGCTAAGGCTACTTGTGAGCATCCTGTGGATTGGTTTCCAAATGTACTGGTGGTTGGTGTCACTAGTTTTATGGATGATCACCACATTGATGCCTCTGCCCAGCTTTTCCTTAGTGATTACTGACCCCCAATAGCACAGTGAAGCACAAACATTAAAGCTGGAAGCCCTGTTTTGGTCACCCTGGCCCTTTGCCTAACACAATCTCAGGACTAACCCTGTCTGCCTGTCTTCTCCGTTTGGACTGACTTATTAATTTTGGGTTTAGAAACTGACAGAGCTGGAAAATCTACAAAGTGTCTTCTGTACAAGTCGAAATGACTCCGATTAATCAGAGAAGCAAATTGCCCTGGAGCTCAGCAGGGTGTGGGAGCTCCATGTGCTGCACACCCCCTGTCACAGCACGAGGCAGGGCCTGAGGAAATCCTGCCTAACACCCCTTGCCACGATGGCTTCATGTGGCCCTGATGCTCCTGCAGGATTTGGAGAGAGGTTGTTTAAGGTTCCCATCATCTCCTTCCCAGCTGCAGCATCCAAATCCACTCACAGCTTTGAAAATGTCAGCCTTTTGACTATCTCTTGATTACAGGATATACTGCTTTAGAGACTGTCCCAGAGTTTTAAACACTGCAAAGCAGTGGGCTGCTTTGAAAAGTGATGAATTTTTAACTTTACTGAAAAGCCTCTGTTGTAAAAAGAAGTACATTCCTCTCTGTAGTCTGAGTAATTGAGACACTTCTCTTTCTTGATTTATTTGCCCATAAAAATCCAGGTGGTTTTGGCACTGTCTCTTTCCCCAGTAACATGAGCAAATATTTAGCAGCAAATCCTCACCTTAATTTCATTAATTATCTGCTAGGGCTGGAAGCCTCTGAAATAATGTCTGATTTTAATAGAGGTCTCACAAGCAAAGTAAGCTCCCAGTGCCTCCACTTCTTTCAAAGGTCTTTTTCTCCCTTTACTTTGAATCTGGTTTTAATTCCCTCTCCTTCACCTTCCGAGGACTTTCAGGCTTCTTTGTTCTCATCTGAGATGGAGAAGAATAGGTAATTGTGCTTCATTACCATGTGCAATACAGTCTGCTCCACAGTAAGTTTCTCACTCCCACAAATAAACAATGAAATAAAGTCTCTAATTCATCCAAGTGATTTTTCTTTTTAGTACCTGCATGCATAATTGTTCCATGTGTCTGTCTGTGAAGATCAGGTTGGAAAGGAAGGAGCCATCTTGCTGCACTGTTCACATCCCAGCATGAACAATACAGGGTGAGGAAAGGAGGTGGAGAAGAAACAGCTGATGAAAGTCTTCTGAAATGATCCTATTCAAGATGCAGACTCCTATTAGCTGAAGTTCTGGCCAGGGACCCTAAAACAGCTGAGAAATCAAGGCTTCTTTTTTCTAGAGAGATCCCTGCTGCCTGGGATCCTTCTGAAGCTGAATCTCCCTTTGATAATCTGGGCAAGCCCTGATGTGTTCTGCTGCCCCTCACTTCCCTCCTGCTGCTGCAGGGAGGAAACTGGCACAATAAAAAGGCTCCCAATTGTTTCATTAAAAATTAAATATTCATGGCCTGGGGGATGGTGCTGAGTGTCCAGATCCCCTCTGGCTCACTGAAAGAAACACCCACAGACCCAACTAAGAGGCACAGAGGTGAGCTGGGTTTCCTGCTGGTTTATTCCCCAGGGTGAGGAACAGTGCTCTGTGTTTACAGGCATCCTTTGGGTAGGAATAGGAGGCTGTTTAGGGCACTGCTGGGTTTCCAGATAGGGAAGCTGGTGGCTGCTACAGAAAATCAATCTCTTGCACATAAAATATGACTATAAACAGAGAACACATCTCTCATCTTGTCAGTCTTTCTTCTGGGACAAGTGGGCAGATCAGAAGTCCCAGGAAAATGAAATACATGTTGCAGAGGGCAGATCGATGTGCTCGTTTCTGGGGAGGAGCAGAGGGTGGGCTGTGTGCAGGTGTAAAGGTCTGACAGCTGCTATCAAATGCCTTCCAAATCCTATCAGAAATGTTGCACTGAAGAGTTGGTGGGAAAGGCTCTGTGAGAAGAGGGATGAAGGAGCCAGAGAAAGGGAGAAAAGTAGGTTTCATTGAGCAAATTTTCTTATTATCACTCCTGAGAGCAGTGTGTGATATGTATGAAGATGTGGTAGATCGGTGTGTTAGTGAATTTTAAGTGGGAAAAATCGCTTTTGTAGGAAATGTTCTAAGACAGGATTTCAGTCACTGTGAGCATGGAGAGCACAGCTATTTGCAGAGCATTTGTAACCAGTTAAATATGCAGAGGAAGGAGAGTTTATCAGCCAGGACTGTAATCCCAGAACAGGGAGAACTCAATTTAAGGAAAAATCATTTAGAGGATCCCCCAGAATAATTAAGCGCTGTCTCTCATCTTCACTCCCAAATATATTTGTTGGTTTGTCTCTTTTTTTATCTGAATCTCATTTTCCCATACAGGTAAAAGGGGATATTAGCAGGGAGCCTTTGGAGACTGAATATATCAGGCACAAACACAGCCCACAAATGTCCTGGCTGGAAGGGCACAAGTGGGTGAGTAGGGAGTGGTTGGTAGATGGGGAGATAAATAAATAGCCAGGCAAACAAATCACTTCTTGCTGCCTGGTTTGCCTCTACAGCTTATCTGGGACTCCCTGTGGCAAGTCAGTTCCTGAATTCCTGCTCTCCTTGGAAAATGAGCCTGTGGTTTGGGACCCAGACACCATCACACTGATGCTTAAAGGCCAGAGTGAAACTGGGTATTTGCCTGTTTAGTGCTTGGTTGGAAATTCCTTCCAAACTTGGTGGTTCTATCAAGTTAAAAGGAGAATTGCAGCAATTGTTGCAATCAAGTGAGAGCGGCACAGATTTCTGAAGAAGCACATTCCTTGGGTGGAAAAATAAGGGCTAACATCTGTTTCTAGGCCTTGAAGCAAGGCCAAAGTGTATGGCATGGCAGAGAAGGGTGCAGCTCCCACGAATAACTTTGCAGGCACTCACCAGCACACATTCACAGTCTAGAACATGTCCCTAATTGTCCCTCATCTGAACAGTCACAGCCCCAAATTGAATTCCTAGTTAGGTCATCCTCTGTGTCTCCTAATCATGTGTGACATTAAACACTTATTCAATGAAACTCTTTTCTCTGCACTAATTATTAAGCATGAAAAGTTGATATTGAGCGAGGCCATTGAGCCAAGACGATTCAATAACTAGCAGGGAGGAGAGATTATTTCAATAAAATAAGTTCACTTGAGCCAGATGGAGTTCCCAGGATGCTCTGGGACAATATGACACATGAAATTGTCCTCTGGCTTGTGTGACAACTCTAACTGTGCTATTAAAAAGCCATCAAAGAGCTGGAGTGAGGTGTTGCAAGAAAGGACACAATGAGGGGGAAATTGAGGGCGTTTTAGACAAAATGTGGGTAAGTGGCGGATATAAAATGCAGCAAGGCATGGCTGGGAGACTTGGAATGCCTCTGTGATCCTCAGTGACAGAGAGCAGAGAAAACTGCTGTATTTCTGCAGGATCCACAGGCAGATGTTTTGTGACCTGCTCCTGCTCAGGGGGACAGGTTTGTCTCCCCTGTGAATTTGTAGCTAAAAGACCTCTGCATCCCAGCTCCCAATTTAAGGAGAAAATGCTTTGTGTTTGTGCTGGGAAAAAATCTCCAAGTTAATCAGCCCTCCCTTCTCTTTCTCCTTTCTCTCCTTTTAGATTTGCTCCCTTTCATTTCTTCATCTCATTCTTGCTCCTGTCCTGTTTTTCACCCTCTCCGTTACTAACCTGACCCTGAGAGATCCACTTTGGAACCAGGACTGCTTGGAGCCAACACCAACTCCTCACTTTCCCCTCCCCCCCCCCCCACGGGACCTGTGCCTCGTGCTCTGTGTCCTGGGATGCTGCTGATACCCTCCCTAGGGAAGGAGATGCCATCCCATAACAAGTCGGGTGGTATATGACATCCAATTATCCAAACAGAATATAATGTAATTTCACCCATGGGCAGCGCTGAAAGGAATGAATTTCCTCTGAGTGTGATGTATGAAGCTGCCTCTGCTATCTCTGTTTGCTGAGCCTCTTGCTTCATTCCCAGCTCCCCAGCAAATCTCTAAAGCTCAGAAGACACTGGAGCACAGCACGTTTCACAGCTGAGGAACCAAGATAAACCAGAGACATTGCAGCTTGTTGTTTAAATCCCACAGCAAACAGAGGCAAATTAATGGGTCTATCTATATCCCTCCCTTTCACTCTTCTGTTTGTCTTTTCCTTTCTTGTTTTCTCTCCTCTTTCCCTTTTCCTTTGTTCTCTTCCTTCTTTGTTTCTTGTTATGATAAACATGATTCATGCCACTGTGAGACTTTGCTTTACATCAGGGGAACTGCTAAGGGCAAGGCAGGTCAGTTCAGGGCATTCAGAAACTTGTATCTGACCTGCTTTTTACTGGGATGATGTGCTGGTTGGGGAAAATAGAGCTATACCAAGTTAAATCCCAAAGAGAAGGGCCAGAAAAAGTGCTGGGCTTCTTCCAACCTAATGTCTCACAGGTATTAGGATATTATTAGTACTTACCCTCCTGTGAGGAAGTTTGTAGCATTCCTGACTGACTATGATTTGGGACAAAATTCAAAGATACCAGGGCATCTATATAGGAAGAGAAACACATCCAGCAAATTGTTCAAAGCACCCAAGCAGTTTGGGTGTCTGACTGTGAATAGGAAGAGTCTCTCAGCTCTTTGGATGCTTTTGGGGTCTTGCTGCCTGAGCAGCTGCACCATCAGGTGCCCCCAGTAACTCTGGCTCTGTGTTTGAGCTCTGGCAGGGGGATGCAGGAGCCTGTTGTGTTCCCTGAGTACTTGCACCATGTCTCTGCCTGCACTAAGCACCACAGTGCTGCTCCTGGGTTAAAAACACAGAGTAAATTGTATTCCCAAGTGTGCAGTCCCTCAGGAAGCTTTGGGAGAGGTAAACAGAGACCTGGGTGCTATATTAACATGGTACCCTGAGCATTTAAAACTTCCCTCTTAGCAGAGAATAGCCCAGATGTGATCAGCAGATTATGCTGTGATTAGTGAATCACAGGTGAGAGAAAAGAGAAGGAGGGAAGGAGAGAGGGGTTGCTGTGAAGGAACACAGGGCTGTGTGGCTGATCCCTGGGCCCAGCTCTGCCCCCAGACCTGCTGATTTGTGGAGCCAAAAGTGGCCCCAGCTATGGCACAGCTTCCAGTCTTCCTGATGAAATGCCCTGTTGCAGAATGGAATTAATGGACTATGGGTTCATTTTGGTCTTTGGGATGCCCTGTGCTCTTGGATAAGCTTTAGGACTTCGTGGGCTGTCACTACTTTTGTGAGCTGAAGGTGGTGTCATACATGGCAGTACCAGGTTAGAGCCACTCAGACACCCAAGCAGAGGAGTTGCTTTGAATGTGCTCTGGTGTGTCTGAGATCAGCTGAGGGGTACCAGGGTGTAACAGGGGGATGGTTTGTCCAGTCCAGGACGGTGCCACTGCCAAAGGACAATGCTATGAACTTCAGAGGGAAACACAAACTGTGCACACTGCACAGCACCCACCATGGGAAGGCACGCAAGTGAAAGGCTGAGGACTGTTTGCAGGACACTCTCAGTGGGAAACTGCTTTGATTAATGCCTGTGTCTCCTCTCAGGCATTCCCAGGATTGGCACTGGCTCTGTGCATGCTGATAAATGGGCACAGACACCTCTCTGCCCCACACCAGGTCATTGGTAGGGCTTTTTTTCCTTTTGAAAGTTTGGAAGGGGGTGAGAGGAGAGTCTGCTCTTTGCAACACTGGTGGGAGATTTAGGAAAGGCTGTGCAGAAGTAAAAGGAGCACCCAGCAATAGCCTGCACAGTCAGGAAACATGAAAGGAAAAGTTGTGTTAACCCTTCTGGGCTGGACTGTGATGAGCCTTTAATTGTAGGATCACACACAACCTCCTGCATCATGGAACACATCAAACAGCATGTCTGCAAACTCCAGCTGTATTCTACTCAGCTGCTGCCTTCATGTTTATTTAAAAGAGCCGACTGTGAAGCTTGTTTAAAAGTACATCCAATGGAAAATGACAGCAAATGGTGCTGAGAGCAATTGTGCAGATCCCAAAGGCCTGAACTTGAGGGAAACCCCTTTCCTATGGGAACAGCACGGAGAGGATTCAGGAGAGCCGGTTCTGCCAGCCCTTTTGATGTTTCTCTTCTCCTCCCCTTCTCTGCCTCTCTCCTTGCTGTTTAAGGTAAATACCAACCGGTTGCTGCAGGCGTCGCTGGCCCTCTGAAGTGGTGCTGCCCGTTTGATCTGCCGTTTGAAAGGACGTTGTAGCGGTTTGGCATGTGAACGCCTTTCCTGCTTCCTTGCTGTGTCTTTGTCAGGGGTATAATTTGGGACTAATTAGTTCTCAGCTCTCAGGCCTCACAAAGGAGCATCAGCACCTGGTGGACTCTATTTGCTGAAGCCCTTATGAAATGGGAACACGTTCCTCTTTCATCTTATTGCACAAATAATTAGAATAACTTAGCCAGAGTCCCCTGGGATGCAGTTTGTGTTGAAAACACTTCCCTGCAGTGACTGGCTACTTTGGCAGCCAGTACAGAGGAGCTGGAGGGGCTGAGACCTCTCTTGCCTGTGGACAGTGCCAGCCCTTCCTCTGTATCCCTGTGGGCTCCAATCCTTTCTAATCCAGTCCCTCTAATCCTTCCCCGTGTTTCAGAATTCTGTCTGTCCCAGAGATCAGCTGAAAAGAAGGGTGGCACAGGATGTTTGTGAATGCAGCAGCTCCTCTAATGACCCTTCCAGCTCTGGGTGTGGCACATGGTGCATGCTGTGGCCTGGGGGACACGGGGGCCTCTCGCCTTTGTCAGACCCTTCAGCTCTGGGTGGTTCTGGGTCACCCCAAAAGCTCTGCACAACAGAGTGCTCAGTGCACTCATTTTGCTCTGGGGGACCTCAGCATCTCTGAGGCCAGTGGAGTTCAACAGTAAAGGTAACACCACCTTTACTGACTCAAGTGATTCTGCACATTGCGAGGTTGAATTCCATTTTTGTCCATAAAGAGCAAGATCTTTGATATCTCACACTTATTTTCGGTGTGACATCTTGTCACAAACAGACGTGGAATGTTTCACATCTCTGGGATTTCAACCAGTAGCAGAATCCCCTCACACCCATTCGATTGCTGCCTTGGGTGATAATTTCCCTGCTTTTAATGGATGTGCACATTAAGGAAGAGTTACGGTTGCTGTGGGAACTATAACTTTGAGTTTTACGATTCAAAAAGAAGAGAAAGAGTATATTTATATACTTTATTTTGCTTATGAATCAACATGTTAATATTGATGCAATGGGAGAAGAAAGAGAAACAAACTTCTAAACAGAAAGCGTAACATCAAACGCTGATCTGTTTATTTTCCCTTCTGCAATGTTCCTCTAACAGGCAGAATGCCCACAACAAAAAGGAACAATTATAAACTAGGAAGCACACGAAGTGGAAGAAAGAAAGCAAGACAGCTGAGAGGTTAAATGAAGTTGTTAAGAGAGAAAATGTTTGCACTTACCAGTCATAGGTCACCACATGCCAGGAACCTCAGTGTAAAACCAGCCAATAACTTGAGGCACTGAGATTGGTGAGTCCAGGACTTACTGTGGGCAATTCAAGTCACGCTGCTGCTGTTCAGGGGAGTTGTGGGGATGTAGGGAAACAAAACAGACACTGAAAAGCACATCAGGGAGGCCTAAACTCTGTTTATGGTGCCTCTCCCACTGCCCTGGGGGAGCTCCCAGGTTTGTGAATTCAAAGCAGAAAGGTTCATTCCTCACAGGCTCAGAGGAGCTGGAACATGTTTAGGGAGGCTCGAGCAGAAGACTGTGTTACATTCCCATTTTCCATGTCTCAGAATGAGGAATCTGGGCTTGGTCTCGTACTGGTGTTAACTCAGGAGGAACTTTCTTCAAGTTAATGGTGTTAGATGGAATAAATCAGGAGTAATGGGGGAGAACCAGGCTGTGCAGTGCACTACACAGTGAAACCAATACTGTGTCCTAGTCACGGGCTGATATGATGTAGAATCTCGAGCACATTCCGTGTAAACCCGGCACCTTTCTAGCATGGCTACTTCTGATGGAGCCACAAAGTTATCTTTTTTCAATTTATCTCTAATTTTAAAAAATACAAACCCTTCCCCCCCTTACAGCCTGCAGCTACTCCTTCACTGGTCACGCTGCCTCCTGTGATTTAATTTGTTATTGATTTTCACTGAGGCGGTGTCCGTAACGGAAGCGAAGCAACCCAAAGCACAAATCACTTATGAAAATTGTGACCAGCCTCTTATCAGCCTGCAAAGATGATGATTAAAAATGACTGGAAAGGCAAAATCAATCAGGCCCCTTCAGAAAGTTGTTTGGGTACACAAAAACAAAAAGCAAAGATTAGCAATATTAAAATCAGATTCTGTCAAATGCTTCAGCTGGTCTCCCATGTGACAGAAATAGCTTTGTTTCCCAAACACAGAGCAGGGATTTATTTCCTCAGCAGACAGTGATGGCTGAGGAGGAGTCACTCCAGCGTGTCAGATAAATAACGTGTGTTTCCAACATTATTTTGCACTCCAAAGCTCACAAAAGTCCTGATGGCCTTCGGGACAATAAATCCAGAGAGCGGGTTATGGATTTAACATTTTAGCTCCTGGATGGCTGCTGTGGGAGAGATGTCAGCTGTGCACTCTGGTGCATCAGTGGGTACCCAAACATGTCCCTGCTCGGCTGGGCTCAGACCCCACTGTGCTGGAGCCTCTCAGAACTCTGCATGAAGCTCAGTTACAGCCCTGGGCCTCATCCCAGCACAGCTCCTGCTGGGGTCAAGCATGGTTCCAGTGGGGTATTCCCAGGGTTGCTGTTTTCTCAAGGGCACACAGCACATGGATATTGATAGATGTAACTTCAGAGAAACCTTGGGAAGCAGTGGAATTAGCACACACATGGGCATCTGACTTGTGCCAGCATTTAGTGACTCGCCTGGTGCAGCCCAGTGTCTCACTCAGAACTTACTGTCAAGGTCCTCTGTGGGGATAAACTGGTCTAAATCCACCAGATTCACTGGAAACACACTGGCCACACTGATCTACATCATGAGAGCTGGGAACTGTGCTCTGAAATGGAGCTGGGGGGTTGCTGACTGTGAGAAATATCCCTCATCCAGCTCCTGTGGATGTGCTGTGGTCTGACAGAGCAGGTGACTGGAGGGGGAGACATCCAGTGAGATCTCTGCATCTCCTCCTGTAAGGAATGAGTGAGTTTTGGGCAGGCCTCTTCTGTTCTTCCCTGTCAAATGTGCTAGTTCTGCATTTCCATTACATCAATTATGGGCACTGCAAATATTTGATTTCAGGGAAACGTGAAAGGAAAGGAAACTACTCCCCTCTGGCTCAGGGTGGGCTGGATGCGAGTCGGAGTAAAGGAGATGGGCTGAGAGCTGGGGAAGCAGCTCTCCTGGTTTGTGGATGAAATTCCATGAATATGTACAAGACTGTAATTGGCTCCCACACAGTCACTGAGGTGCCTGAAGGCCCAGGCATCCTGGCTAATTGTTGTAGACAATTAACAACTCAGATTCTACTAATTCCATATCGCACCGTGCAGCTCAGTACAGGAGCAGAGAGGGAGATTGTCTGCAAAAGCTGCTGGGAGAGAGGGAGGGTTGGGTGACCCAGGCACAGGGGCAGAGAAGGTCACAATTGGGCTGGCACCACTCTTGGCTCAAACAGCAGAAAGTCACAGCCACAGCAGGGGACAGTGACAGTCTGTCCATCAGCCTTTGGCTGAGCTCTGGAGTCACAGCGAGGGAGAGCTCTCACCCTGGAAACAGGAGCAGGATAATGAGTCTGTGGGTTCAGTAAAGCACACAGCAGACCAAAACACACCCTTGTCCTGTGATCCAGTTTACACAGAGACTTTTCTTGTGGTGGCCTGAATCCCATAAGTCAAAACCATAATTTGACTCCATCGTGTCCCACCCACAGGGCGACTGCTGGTGATGAGACTTCCTGAAGCTTTCATGATAACCTGCCACTAAACACAAGGAGGAAACACCAGGAGTTGCAAGAAGGGGATGTAGCAGCTACCCAGCTTGCTCTGTGTTGCAGGGCCTGGAATAGATGTGGACTATATGTGGGAGGACTCGTGCTGGCATCCACCAGGCCTCCCTGCGTGCTCTGGGAACGCTGGAACCTCTCTCGAGTCAGACTGGTGTATAAGTACTCTGAGCAGTGATGGACCCTGGTTTTCAGAGCCTAATAAACCTCACTTTTGCTGGGTTTAATGCACTAGTCACAGCAGCATCCATCAAAAGTGAACAGCACCTGGCAGAGTGCAGCTCCCTGGTGCTTGAGTGCCCAGGAAATGGATGGTGCTCCAAGCCAAGACTTTGCAGGGCTACATTACATCTGGAAGGAACTGATTTTTTATGGAGTTCCAACAAACTCCTCCATTAGCTACCTCTCCCTTCCCCTTCCTCCAGCTTTCCTGTACTTGGGCTTGCTGGGGCTGTAACTGCATAACTTCAGGGACTTCTGTCTCTGACTCCTATTTTATCTTTCTCCTTTTTCTTTCTATTAGTATTTTTCCTTCCTAAGCAAGTTTCTTCTCTGCAGCTTTTCTATCCATTTTGCAGAAGTTCTATAGCACTGATTATAGGTACCAGTCCTGTGCTGTAGTTTCCATCTTCTGTGGTACCATTTTTAATTCCCTCAGCTGTATCCTTTATACTTTTCCTCTTTTGACTGTTTTCGTTCCTGTACCCACATATTCCCCTGCTTTTTTTTCTTTCCTTCCTGTTCTTTTGGACAGCCTGATCATGGCAGAAGAGGTTCTGCAAGACCACAGCCAGTCTTGTCTCTGTGGGCTGCAAGGGGCTCAGTGTCCAATACCTGATGCCTGGGCTTGGATTACAAGGGGGATCCTGGAAGAGATCCTGGATGCCCTGCTTTGGGTCAGGGTCATGTGAGCTACACTGGATGGTTATAGACCTCCAAATAACTGCAATTCTAAAAGATAACTGCAGCAAGAAAAATGAGAAATAATTATAAATGAATGAATGTAACAGACTGCTGATGGGCACTGGTGGAACTTTAATCTCTGGGCCTTATTAAAGTAAACACATCCTTGCCACCCACCAGCTCTGGCCATTCTCACTGCTTTGCCATCTGCTGCAGGATGGATGGATGAACAAAATTTCCATAATTTGCAGAATGTCCTCATGCAAAGCGCTGTAGGGATTCTGCTGATAGTTTCTGGTCTTATGGCTCTGAGG